CTATCGTCAACGATCGCCCCGTAACGTGAGTAGATCACCTTTTCGTGGTACGTAACAGGATGTAAGATCTACCACCAATTCCTAGTCCTGACTACTTCAAACTAGGGGAACCGGATGTTTCAGAAACACATATTAGTCCTTGTTACTTTTTATGTCTTGTTGATAGTAACAATGCTCGACTTTGTCCACCGAGGATTAACTTGAAACAAGGAAATATGAGTTAGTTAGTCTTCATCTATGTGATTCCTAATCTTCTATTCATTGTTCCCTAGTTTGAAGAGGTTAAAACTAGGGTTCTGATGCATGGTCATTATCGGTGTCATTGCTAATTTTTGTTGCTAAGGAATCAAATTTTGACTAATGAAGGGGCATGTCTTTGGAGGGTGCTCTCACTCTTCGAAGGGTATAAATAGCGGGACCTTTCAATTAGAATCGATTCCTTGCGATGAAGGCAAGAATGACAACTGTATCAATACCGAATACTTCATCATTTCTCAATAGTGATGGAGTAATACGACATGCACTAAATTAAGGACATGGGATATGCTACAGATCAAATTACTGGTCACAGTGGTTCTATGTCCCGAATAGAAAAAATAGTCAGCGACCACCTAATCGTATTACAACCAGTAGTTACGAGGACGTTATCTTTCTCTTTGATTACTTATCATATTGGATGTTTAGTTTATTTTTCAGACTTATTGATATTTAATTTATTTATATTTATATTAAATTGCTTCCCAGTGCTTTTATAGAAACTGTACTTTATTAATTTGGGCTCCCAGAATACGAATCTGATGTTAGAATTCTCACGCGAAGTGTATTTTATGCAAAAAGGACCAGATAGATTTCAAAAATACACCGTTGCGCCTAAATTTAAGCAATTTATTTAAAAATCATAAATTTTATGAAATCCCTTCAATTTCTTAATATTAGAAATAAAAACAATTGAATTCCGTTACACTTAGTTTAGTCATAAAACTATCTTCAAGCGTATGACATCAGTCGTTGCCGGCATTTAATCTTTTTGTTTTTGAATAGTTATATTGGAAGCTATTGAACAGCAGTCAAATAACATAAAAATTTATATTTAATATACTTTTTTGTTGCGAAAAAATCATCAAAATAAATCAGCTTAACAAATTTTGATAAATCTACAGTGGGAATGTCACTGATGAAGACTGCACATTATAGTCGAAATACGTAATTGTCATGGATACCAAAATTAATTAAGTGTAATTAAATGGAAGATAACCAGAGTTGCAAAATCTCACGATTGTCACGAGAGCGTACGTAGCCAAAGAAAAACACCAAAACATAATTAAACGAATCTCACCGATGACACTCACCACACCAAACCCCGACTGACTTGATCAGCTATCTGATTATCCTTCGAAAGAGGGACGTTCATATCTGACATTCGGAACCTGAGTGTCGAATGAGTGACTAAATGATGAGACGTCAAGACTGAGTGTGACACAGACAACAAGTAATGATTGTTGTTGTTTTGATGATCGTGAGCTTTGTTTTTGTGTTAACTAATCTGGAGAACTTTGAGATTTGGACGTATTTACTTTTGTAACAAAACAAGCCAATTCTCGCAAATAAAATCGCAACCTCGAAAGTATACACCACAATCAGGTAGAGGAATGATTCCTATATCATTTGGTATTGTCTCCTTGCGAGATCGAGCTTTAATTTGCGACAAATTGGTGATTTGCGTGTTTGGTTACAAAATCAAATACGTCCAAATCTCAAAGTTCTCCAGATTTATTGACACAAAACCTATAGTGATAGGGATAGTATACAATGATGTATTTGGTAATGGATAATGGATAGGGATAATTTTGATGCCTGAGCAGTGCTGCACGACCTGATCAAAGTCTCCCCTGCGATCAAAGACACCCCATTCAACGGTAACTTTTTCTAACAACCGTTGCAAAAGCAGAATCCTTCAGGTGATATTAATCAATGAAATATACTTTTTTCTTATGTTATGTGTTAATGAATGTTACGATTATCATCAATGATAGGTAAACGAATGTCAACAATACTGATTGATAGACAAATTGCTGCTGCGATGACACTCACTATGAAGAAGAGTGTAAACAGCACGACTGATTGAGTGGAGCGGTGAGTGACCAACTTTCATTGTCAACTGTCAAAAGCAACTGGAACGTTGCTTGAGTAAAGGGTGATACGGTCAAAATTTGGTCAATATCAACTTGACGTATTTCTTTCAATTTTGCATTTAAAAAACCTGAACACCCCTCATTTTGAAGGTGTGTGTGTGTAGAATGTTGCTCCTATTTTGATTTTGGAATTCACTCTTCAGTTGTCAAAATGCCGTCCAAGCAAGAAGAGCAGCGTATCAAAATTTTGCTCACGCATCGCGAAAATCCGAGCTACTCGCACGCAAAGTTGGCAAAATCGCTAAAAGTTGCCAAATCAACCGTTCCGTTACAAATGTAATTAAAGTGTTTGGGGAACATTTGTCGACAGCCAGGAAGTCTGGATCGGGGGGAAATCGAAAACCGGAAGCCGCTGAGACGACAAAGAGAGTTGCCGGTAGTTTCAAGCGAAACCCTAACTTCTCTCTCCGAGATGCCGCAAATAAGCTGGGTGTATCGTCTACAACCGTGCATCGAGCCAAAAAACGAGCCGGACTATCGACTTACAAGAAGGTAGTGACTCCAAATCGCGATGATAAACAAAATACGACGGCCAAAGCGCGATCCCGGAGGCTGTACACGACGATGCTGACGAAGTTTGACTGCGTGGTAATGGACGACGAAACCTACGTCAAAGCCGACTACAAGCAGCTTCCGGGACAGGAGTTTTATACGGCAAAAGGAAGGGGAAAGATAGCAGATGTTTTCAAGCACATGAAACTGTCAAAGTTCGCAAAGAAATATCTGGTTTAGCAAGCCATCTGTACCTGTGGCTTGAAAAGCAGCATTTTCATAGCTTCCGGGACTGTCAACCAAGAAATTTACGTGAAAGAGTGTTTGAATAAACGTCTGCTGCCTTTCCTGAAGAAACACGGTTGTTCCGTACTGTTTTGGCCGGATTTGGCATCTTGCCATTACGGTAAAAAGGCCATGGAGTGGTACGCCGCCAACAACGTGCAGGTGGTTCCCAAGGACAAGAACCCTCCCAACACGCCAGAGCTCCGCCCAATTGAGAAATACTGGGCTATTGTCAAGCGGAACCTAAAGAAGACCAAAAAAACTGCTAAGGGCGAGCAGCAGTTCAAGGCAAACTGGCTTTCTGCGGCGAAGAAGGTGGACAAGGTGGCTGTACAAAATCTGATGGCAGGGGTCAAGCGTAAGGCTCGGCAATTCGGATTTGGAAAAGCGGAAGCCTAACTGAATATTTTTCCTGAATTTTATACTAATTGAACTTGAAAAAGAAATTTAATTTGATTTTTTAAATAAACGATTTCACCGATTTACACGCGTTTTCCCTTGACCAAATTTTGACCGTATCACCCTTTAAGCGTCCGATTTGAGAGTGATTAAATGAAAAAGGGTGACTATGATCGGTCATTTCGTGACTTATACAGTGACAGTTTTCAAGACTGTTAGAGTCCCTTAATGAAATACTATCTAAATTTCTCTTGATATCCAGTACTGAAAATTGTCTACGGGCAGCTGAAAACGAAAGGCATTTTGATCAATTTCACCGCATCACATTCCAAAGTAATCCAGACCAATTTGCCCCTGGATATCGGTACTCTTCATTTGATTTGCACGGCGACTCACGTTAAACGAGGTGACAACTATAACTTCACTTGTGACCGCGTTTCATCTCACAGCACTCGCCGCTCAGGATATGCATGTTTATATAATTCATATGAATTTTTAAACTTGTGTCTGGGTCTGGGTTTAATCCCAGCCAAGGGCGGTGGAATTTTTTCTGAGGCATAAACATATCTGGTCACGTCGTCCTTCGGAAGGCGTGTCCATGTGTGTTGAATGGGTGCGATATCCTACGCAGGTGTGGAAGCTGCCTCCCTGCACATTTGCGGAACAAAGACCGACGTTAAATAAATGAATTAATAATAAAAGAAGAAGAAGTAAACTTGTGTGACAAATAATTAATTGCAGCTCCAGTACTGGGGTTGGTACAGAAAATCAAAGTCATAACACATTTTTTATTAAAAGTTATTTTCCCTCATCACATTGTACCTAGAAAATTTTAATGTGAAAGTTTTAAACAAAAGTATTAATTCTAGAAAAAAATTATGCATGCTACGGCTCAGTGTTAGAACAGCAACTTGTCTACCATCTAGATTCATATCTATTATACAGGCATTTATTATTCTGAACTATCTCCCTGGACAATTTTGAACTGAAAAATTGATCCATACTAGTAGTGCTACATCTACAACAATAATTCCAATATCAAACAATGTTGCCAAACACTGAATTGGTCTCAATCTTAATGAAAATAGAAACTTTTTCCACTAACCCAAAACTATCAGTTGCTTTGAACTTTAAATGTCACACAGCTTATTGTTATGAAAAGATAGAAAAATTAACCACAATGAACCGCGCCGCCGATGATGGCAGCGAACACGCAATCTGAAACATACAAAAACCACTGTCACTTTCAGCGGTGAGTTGAAAACGTGGCAGAACCAAAATTGTTTCCCCGATTCATGCACCAACAAAACAACAATTTGCCTACAAAATTAGCTCACTTGTTTTCACCGAACTATAGGTAGTGATGATGATATGAACGGTAATGAATTATTTTTGTGGTATACAGCGTAAGTTGCGAGGAAAAACTATTCGACCGAATTCTGATGAAGAGAACAAATTTATTTGCTCTAGAAACAAATAAAACGTGGTCGATAATGATAAGTGGTTCAATCAACTTCACTTCCAATTAGATGCATTTGTGTCAAAAAGAAAAAAAAATAAACATCATTCATATTTAACTTTTGCTCCATCATCACTTCATTTTCAATAATTCTACTTTTGTTTTCCTTTCAGATTTCCGTCTGTGATGACTACAGCTTACCGATAGACTTTGTCAAAAAAAGACCGTCCAGTTTTGATCCCTGCCTAGCCGAGCGTTTGCCAGACAATTGGGCATCGCCTAGTCCACAGTCAGAACACGTAAGTATCGAAGCAGCAAACTCGAATGGAAATACACGCATAGTCGATCGGTGCCAGTAGTGGGTGGTAAAACGTTTGCCGCCTTAATTAATGCAGTAGGAAAATAAGCGAAGCAAATTCTGCCAAAGCTTTGCACTTCTCTACGCGGTGTCTGTTGCCTAGCATCATCAACATCATCATCATCACCATCACCAAGTCTGGGGAGGTTGATGGGGAAGCATTGTTGGTTGGTAGGTGCGTTCTTCATCGACGATGAAGCCGAGTCGATTTTCAAGGGGACCATTTAAGCTGCGTTTTAATCATAAGCACTCGACTTTTCGCCGTTTGTTGCCTCTCGGAATGACTTTTCCCTCAGAAGGTGGAGCAGAGAGCAACTGGCATCTGTAAACGGTAAACAGAGCCCCCAGCGAAAGCAATCAAAACCAAGGGATTCGCCTCATTCTCTGGGGATGGAAATAGCTCCTGTGGTGCAAATAATTACTTTTTAAATGGACAAAAAATTGAACTACCATAATTTAATTCAATTAGAGTTTAATTAAAAAGCAAATAAATTGCACTTCTCGGTCAGCGAGCCAGGGAGAAGTTCAACATGGAACTGGAATGTTTGAAAATTTGCATAGAGTGTTTGTGAACAAGCTATCTACAAACGCCTAGCAACAGTTGCGTCCAGGAAACTACGCATTCCAAGAGATTTTTTAGGGCATAATAAAAACTCAACTGTAATTGATCGTTACAACGTTCAGCTTTTCCAGAACAGATGGAAACAATCGATACTCACATTTCGTCGCCCCAGCATACCTTGAATATAGCTGCGCATTCATAAAATTATCATCGCAACAATATGAAAACAAAATCGCTCCTCAATGATTCTTTCGGCATCGAAAACAATGTCTCCGGAAACTGAGACGAAAAGTAAAGAAAAAGAGGTGGATGCCTAAATGCGAAGAATTTCGAACCATTCGAAGGAAATGGACTATTTTTCTCACTCCTGAACCTTCTCTTGTCACAATCGAAAAAAAAAGATTTTTTTTTCGTTGCTTTTGTCAGATTTCAATATTATTGCTTTCATTGCATTTGAAAGATTTCTCAGCTCTTTATCGATCATTCGTTTATTGGCTTATGTTTGAATTTCTTGAGATGTCTAATTTAACTAGAGCCAGAAGTAGTTTTCATCATCATCGATAACTTTATTATTATGTGGAATCTTATTCAGTGTTGAGCTGTTTGCATCACCCTTGGGGAAGCGAACAATTAGTGCAGCATTATTCTGCTAAAACCTTCTATATTGCTTCATCAAAGGCGAAGGCAATAAAAAACACTTTTTTCGTGCATTCTCTTTCTTCCAATCAGACAACTCCAAATTCCCATTGTTTTTCCGACACCACAATGTCATGCATTTGGATAACGGATGTTAAGGCCCAAAAAACAAAAAGTTTGACAGTTGTCACAAATGACATCAAGAAACCTACCCTAATAAACAAATACCATAAACGAACTGTATCCCGGATGGGTAAACTATCCCACTCTCTTAAGCTCTCTTTTATGGTTATTTTTATTAGGGTAACCCATGTCGATTTGGTTCTAACTAGTTTTCAATCCGACAAGTAGGCTTACTCGGATCGGGCTTTTCAGCTGCCACTGCCATTCCGCTCCCGCTGTCATTGCGCTTGGGTCTTTAGATTTTCGTGACGTAGCGTTATTGTGAATAGTTTTGAATTCCTTGATTATTATTTGTATTCTTTCCATATTTCAAATCGATTGAGCTTGAGCTTGAACTTAGATGACCGTACATTTCGTAGTTGCTACTCCGATTGACAAGCCAGGGATGGCAAATCATTTACATTCATTTCGTGCATTCATTTACATTCATTTGCCTCTAACTTTTTTCATCAACAGAATTCCGTACAATAGTGTTTGAAGCTTTTGTAGGTTTTGATATTAGCTACATCTTTTGCAAACAACTCAAATCTGCATCTCTTATGCATGATGAATCAGAGCGATAAGAACCCACCATTGTTTTCAGTGAATGTAAATTGTATTCACTGAAAAACAATAACATGTTCTGCCAGCTCTATTTCATCATGCATGAGAGATTCAGATTTTAGTTACTAACAAAAGTTGTAGTTAATATTAAAAGCAACAAAAGCTTCATACATTATTTAACAGTATTCTGTTGATGAAAAAAGATAGATGCAAATGAATGTAAATGAATGCACGAAATGAATGTAAATGATTTTCCATCCCTGACAAGAACCAGTAAAATTGCACATAGTTTCAAATGAATGTGGCTTGGCATGAGCTTACCATTACCATATCATGTACATATTCCGAAGGTTCATTACGTTATCAATTACGTAGCCGGCTACGTCCTTACACACTTAGAAAAAATAACCAACTTCGGTCATTCATTTACCGAATTCTCAACAGCTGAATGGTCGGTAATGTTTTCGGTCATTTCATTTACACTTTTCAGCAATAAAGCGAAAAATACCGAAACATCTGTAATTTTTAGCATTACCGATCTAAGACGGTATTTTTTTTACCGAACTCAGGGTCTCTGTTTGCGTGTACGGTCATCGGGGAGGGAAAGGATTGTTAGTTCGACATGCGTTGTTAATACAGACCGAATACATCTGCATTTCCAAGGCTATCACGGGAAAGACGTTTTTGTCAATAGGAAGGGTGCATTAGATCTGGATCACTTTGGAATGTGATGCGGTCTTTTTGACCATTTCCAGAACAACATGTGAAAAGGGCATACAAGCTTTTTGTAAACAAACCTTCTTATGCCCTTTTCTCGCCACCCACATGACACCAACGCAAACCTTTAACATCATCGGATAGGGGACACTTTCCCCTTCTCGATGATATTGCTAGTTTGCGTGGGCGACCCTCGGTTGGTGAGAAAAGGGCCTACAAAGGTTTGTTTACAAAAAGCTTGTATGCCCTTTTCACATGTTGTTCTGGATTTAAGCAAATTATACGACCCTATTATCTAAGTAACGTAAAAGAACCAGTGATAGAACGGTCACTCTAAGGCCACCGAGCTCCTTACATCACAACAAGCTACTGTGACCGACGCCTGTTAAAACCCGGAATCATGGAACTTTTCAAAAGAAATGTCGTCCTCGTAGGCAGTCAATTACGTTTTCGTAACTAAATCGAGCCCAAAAAATACCACACCGTGCGACATTTTGAAATCTGCATCATCAAGACGTTTTTCAAGATAGCCGCACGATGCAAACTTATTCATTTTATTACTGTATTTCCCATCTAGAATATTTCTTCGAAAACTTAATTGGGTGTAAGCTGACGAAGTAACGGCCGTCATTCTACAGATCCCCTTGATGTGAGTTAGGTACAATGTGAGCATTCTCCTGATTTGGATTTCGGCAACAATATAAAGCAACGTAAAGATGCGAAAAAACGATCGTTTGCAGATCAGTTCACACGTGATCAAATGTCTGTTCTATCGGTTTGTTGATCGTGATAATGTGTGCCTGTATGACAGGGAATTGACGTCAACGCAAAACAAATAGTTTAATTTGTATCGCTTGGAATTTAAAAATATTCTAGTAATGGTCACCATGATTACACTCCGAGATGCTTCGAGCAGTAATTGTATTCCAGGGGAGCTACAGGACAATTACTCGTGTTTAATTGTAATGCCCTTTCTATGGATTCAAGTTCCAGAGCAGCATGAAACCAGGCGTACCGGAAGCTATCTGATCATGAATAAATTCTGGAGGATAATTGATGCCATCATTCTGGTCTTTCGTGATTGCATAATCGGTGCTATCATAAATTGAGGGCTGGTAATATAAACATATCTTTATAATCATATTCATGTAGGTTTGGTGGTCGTGCGGTTGGCGGCATTACCTGTCGTTCAGGCGTATTGTGAGTCCCACGAAGTGAGTGTTCGATTCCCGCTCCAGTCAACCGGTGGAACGCTTTGCAACCCGGAAATTTCTCTACTGGTCTACTTGGTGTTATGTGTTGTCAGTTGTCTATTAATAAGTGTTCAGTCAGTGCAACCTCTGGTTGAAGACGGTATCAATTGTCTTGTCTTTCATATTGTTTGATTAGCCACGATTATGCATTTCGACATATCCTGAAAACGTCATTACAACGCTCCAAACTTCACAGGTGATTGCAACTATTTCAACCCATCCATTTGAACTGCGTGTTCTATTATCGGCAACTCGTAATCAGCCTTATTTTGTAGCTCGTATGCTTCATTTGAAGAAAACCCTGGCATAACAGGTTGCTCTGTAAAAAAAAAAAATGAGATCGAATTGAAGTTAAGAGACTAAGGAATCGTTTAAATACATTCAGTGAAGAGTTTTGGTAGAAAATAGAACGAAATCTACGTTTAAATTTTAGTTGCCGAAAACAATCAATGAGTGTCAAATCCATAATTTACCCTTTATCCATAATTTACCCTAGTGAATAATTCACACGTTATGCAATATTGACTACTTCATAGAGTTAAAACGATTGTATGACAAAAGACCGAAAGACAAAACGTCGAATGACAAAACGTCGATTGGTGAAAAAGGGGACAAAAATTCGAATGGATAAAGGTCGAATGTACAAAAGATCGAATGGTCTAAAGGGTGAATAATGAGAAGTACGACAAAAGGACCAATGATTCAAAGAGGTTGAAAAGGTCTAAGATGTAAAAGGTCAAATTTACGAAAGATCGAATTTTCAAAGCTGGACAAAAGTTAGAATGATGGTAAATTTTGGTGTGAAGCTCACTTGACCAGATGGCAAAAAGTGGAAAAAATGCTTGACAGACGTAAACACCGTTATGTTCAATATTAAATGACTAATCCTCAAAATCGTTTTTTTGTTGTGGTTGTATGAAAGAACGAGCAGTGATGAAAAGAAGGGATACTATTGATAATGCAATTCTGACTTACAGTGTTAGTGTAACTACGGATGGGGATCGAAAAAAATCTATACAATCTGGATAGAGCTTTTTGACGTTTAAT